AATCAAAGCAGCCAAGCTGCAATTTGCACAGGAAATCGGACACGGAGGCCTGGCCACCGTCCACGGTGGCCATCTCGGTACCAAGGCAATAGCCTTCAAAGTTGTTCGCTCCCAGCCAGGCTTACTGGCAGACCCCGAGACAGACCGCAGAGCCCTACATGAAGAAGCCATGATGCTGCACCGACTTTCGCATCCCCAGATCGTTGAAGTGATTGGCCTCGTGTCCGAGCAGGGCATCGTCAACGGCTTCGTCATGGAGCGCCTCGGAGAGTCCCTCGAGCAAGCTTCCAGCCGAGGCCATCTGTGCTGGCAACGCCTGGAGAAGGCTTTCGGGCAGATCGTCGAGGCCGGACTAAGAGTGTCACAAGTAGCCGTCTATATCCGTATCCGTGAAGGCGTCGACCCCAACCTCCACCTCCCTGCCCCTTAGGGCCATGGACCACTATCGGCAGAGGTCTAGGGGAGTCCGGTAGGTATCGATGCGATAGATTGGGCTCTCTGTTTGGCGATAAGTCTATGTGTCCACGGAATGTCTCGTGCTGTGTTGCTTGTCTGTTCGTTGTGCCCTTGTGAACCAGATTGAGGGGTGTCTTTTTCGGTGTGTGTGTGTGTGTAGGGTGGTTTAGTCTTTTTTTCGTGTTCTTCTACTCGTATACTTGGTAACCTATCTTCCGAGGCGGTCGCGCACATCCACCGTCTCCTGATCGCGCACACCGACCTCAAGCCGGCGAACGCGTGCTTCAAGCGTTACGGGCACTTCCCCGTCGCTTAGTAACTGATTGGGTGCATTTTACACTTGACGTGATGGCATTATCCCCTGTGGAACTGAAAATTTACACTTTTGGGGCTTATGAACTCAGCAGCTAAGGTCAAGCTCATCGACTTCGACTCCGCGCAGCAGCTGAAGGATGCCGATCAGACTATGTACAGACTTGCGGGCAATTTGGCTGCGGTGTCGCCCGAAAGGGCCGAGCGCCTCCCGTGCCAATTCCTCCCTGAAGACGTCTTCATGCTTGGCTGGACCTTCCGGACCCTGATCTGCCAAGCCCCCCGCGACCCCACAGAAGCGACCCAGCTATGGGCAAGGGTCAACCCCCTACTGGAGAGGGCAAATATTCGGCCGAAGATGAAGGAGGTATTATCGCGATGCAGTTATCCCGTGATTCCTCAGCCGGGGCCCCCCCCTGTGCCGACTCATCCCAGTCCCACGCTCCTCACCAGCACTCCGGCCGGCGACCCGCTGACCAAGCTGTGGGGCATGTGTTAGCTTCTCCCAGCCGGGCCATTGGTCGGCCAATCAATCTACACGTGTTGCGACACCTATCTCTACAGAGCATCCTCGGCGAGTGTGGTGCTCAGGCTGGTTCCTGTGCAGTGCAGAGATCAAGGAATCGTGGATGCATCCCTTGTCTGCCCCACTGCAGATGGCACCGTGGCTGCATGTGCTTATGCCACTCCTACTCCCACTCTTTCACGACAGGGATCCCTTTTGGGGAGAGCTGGGAGGCAGATCACCCACTACGCCGTCTACTGGTTCAACAGCACAGCTGGAGGGACGGATTGCAGGTCGAGTGCATGATGGTACTGAACGGCGAGTTTCAGAAAAGGCCGCCGCAGGTACCTTGCATCGGAGGCACAGCTGCAGACGACGCTGAGTGGCGTCATTTTTGGACCTCCGAAGGCTTCTGCACAGAGCAGATGACATCAGTCCAGGGTGAAGGTTTGTTGCTGAGAGTTCGCAGCAATTTGATTCCTGCAAACAAACTACGAATGGACTATATTCTCTGCCAGGGGCCCGCTGGGGAGGTGCTTTCCAAACCTCCCGCTTCTTTGAGCGTTCACCGTTTCTGACGACTTGGAAAGCCGCTGCGTGTCAGTTCTTTTCGGGAACGGATGTGGAATTTAACCTGAAGACATGCATTCTATGGATGGAAAGAGCCAAGGCTGCTGTTATGCCTGAGAACTCGAATCGTGATAGGACGTACTTCAAAGATGGCAAACCCAGCCGGGATCTCTGTTGGGAGCATTCTGAGACGTTGGATGGTACCTTCGTCCGTGGCATTCGCAGGGCTTGCCGCGATATCGGCATTTGGGCTTGTTTGGGTGTAGATCTGCATGGACGGGAGAAACCAACCGTTCACATTGGGATCTTGCTCATTGCTCCAACTGGGAAGATCGTTGGCTGCGTAAAGAAGCACGTTCTCTGGGACTTCGAGTACACCCTTTTCGAACCGGGCAGCGAGCCCTATCTATCAAGTGTTCGACACCGAGCTTGGGTGCCTCGGTGTCCTTTGTAGCGCTGATGGAATCGTCCCGGAAGCAGCGAGGGTGCTTTCAAGGGTGCTCAGGTTTTGTTGAACTCCCTGAACAGCCGGGGCCCTGATGAAATGCGGCTGCACATCCCCTTGCGTGCTTCGAACGCAGTTTGGCACGTGGCCTCCAAGACCGTCGGCAACCCAAACACCACTGGCATGCTCTGGCCCTGGACGGGAGGCTCAGAAGTCTGTGATCCCTCAGGAGTGAGAGTTGTGGCTTCGGAGGAACATGACGACATGGTGGTTGCGGAGGTGACGCCTTGGCAGTCCGAGCTCAAAGAGACAAGC